GCAAAGATAGTAATAAAAAAGAATGTTTAAATTTTTATTCTGTCAAATGAAGCCCGCCCCCCAAATGATCTATGCATACGACCAAATGATAGATTGCAAATTACCTTCTATGGGACCTAAGGTCAAAATACCTTGGGTTCACCACCTTACCAGTGACCTACTCCTACAATACCTGCCGCATCACATCATGTTACCATAAATTTCACCATGTGACTGCAGTTGAAAATACATCTACTTATTCTCAAGTGCGGTTACGTAAAGGTCCAGTCCTTGTATGGGTAAACACACAAAATTATCGGTTTCCATTACGTCCCCGGACCCAGGGGATTCGCCATAGCCCTACCGACCCCAATAAGCGAGAAGGCCTAGATCGAGCTGCTGGGGAAGCTGCACGGAAAGCACGGTGCATCCCGAAACCTCCGTCCTAAAATAGGTCATAATCAATGAATCTGCCATGCAATCAAACAGATGAGTCCAGGTGAAGGAAGCCATCATCAATAGAGTCATCATATTCGTCCCTGTAGATACCGCGAGAGTATGGCTCGATCACATAATCCCCTAATACCACAGCCCCCGGTGTTGATGACATGATTGTACTAATTACATCACCCGCGCTCTCTCATTCTCTAGTTTTTCCCATTTTTCTTCAAGTACAGGGTCCACTTCTCGAGGTCGTGCCAATGGGTGTTTTGCCTTAACATGTTTCTTGAGCTCTTTGTAAGTTCCAACAAAAGAGCACTTGTCTTGCATGTATTATCTCTTTTTCCTATTGAGATATTTCCGTACAGGTTCTACCACAGTCCAACCCTTCACTTGTCCTCGACAGAGCGGGCATAGAAGTTCTGGTATTTCCATCTTTTCAACGGGCTCTCCCACATCTTAAACAATAATTGAATTATCTACGAACCACTGTCCACTGAAGTTACTTAAGTGTAGGCTTTCTTGTTTTGCTCGAGACAATTGGAAAAGCGCTGACTAGCATGTAAGGGTGACAACCCGTGTCATAGGAGGAACAAAGGAGGAGAACAGCATTGTGAGGAAACTCTAGACAAACAGAACATTTTGCGGTTCCCAAATCTTTCTTCTCTGAAGCCTTTCAAACATTGTTTCTGTTGGGTTCCTTTGCCAGCCTTCTTTGGGTAAGAAGACAATAGATAAGGATTCACCTTTTTATGACGTGAATCAGGCTTTCGCACTTAGCTAACTTTGGCCATTTGCAATTTTGCCTAAATCATGGGAAGATAAAATAAGATCAGACACACTTAAAAATACATTTTTTTTAAAAAATAATCAAGAATAATGTGGCTAGCACTTTACACGAAGTTTACGACTTGACCCCATATTCCATATTTTCTAATGGGAGAACAGAACAGAGTCAAAGTGCAGTGCATTCATTTAATGCATGGACTTCAAAATTTGTACAAAACCAATAGCGATGTTCCTTGTTTTCAGTACAGAACAGAGATAAAGCCTAGGGCAGTAAGTAGAGCTGTCTCTAGAGAACGAGAATTTAAAGTTAGAATGGATGTGCATTCTCATAAAAAATGACACCTAACACACTTAAAAATTCACACTTCTAAGGCAACAAAGAACGGAATCCAATGCCAAAATTTGAAAACAAATTTGAGTTGGCCTGTTGACTAGGTTAGACTAAAGTATCCGGAATTACTGTTTGAGCTAGGGATGACATACAAACAGAGTGGGTGTGGATACCCCTTTCGCATTCTCATACTCACATAATATTTTCGTATCCATTACCTATTCACTACCTACTACGAATAAATTTTTTAAATCTACACCCGTCCATGTGGGTACATTCTCAAATCTACCCCACACTACCCACATGTATCAGTCCGTACCTGCCTGGAAACAACTTCACATATTACATAAGCAACAAAATATAAAACAAACACATCCATTAATAAGTATAATAAAATAAACCAAGGATTAATTGAGTTTATACCCTAACATTTAATTAAATTACAAGTCATGTCCTAGAAACTCTTAAGATTTATAGAATATTATTTGAAATTATACCTAAATTCATAGTAGTCCAAAACTTATATGGAGGGTAATTAGTGAGCGGACGGATGCGGAGCGGGTAAGGTCTTAAACCCATCACCTACCCACGACGGGTATGACTTTTTACATCTACACTCATCCACTACCCACTAAACTTATATTCATACCAGCCCCAATTGGAGCAAGTGCGGTGCGAAATCCACGATTTTGTACCCGTTTGTCATCCCTAGTTTGAGCATTCCTACTTTCATGACTGGAAAAGGTACTGTTCTTGTTACCTAAAAACTGAAACTGTATTGTACACACTTTCAGACAATGTAATGTCTGGAATCTTAGTTGATAATAAACAGACAGGTCTGTCAAGAGAAGACAAAAAACATGAAAGAAATCTTCTAGACCATATCACAGCATGCAGCACTATCCTGATTTGTTCGTGGATGGCACATGCCAAAATGTCAATACTAAGAAAATCCACAAAAGCCAATTCACTATAGTGATTGGGAACTTAAAATTGAAATTAGTATAAGTTGTGTGATAGAACACATAAAGGTAACATTCATGATTACAGATGAAATCCAAATCTAAATATTCAAATTCATATTTCCAGACAGATGTACAGCATTGCATTATCAGAGACCAATTTTGCTGTTGGTTGATCATGAATGACGTACGATGATTGACATTTTTAACAATACTACCACTAACAACATCAAAAAGACACTCCAGATATTTATGCACAGGCACAGATTTATTTGTGTGACCAGGTTAGCTTCTTCTCTGTGACATAACTGAACATTCATGATATAAAATAAATCAATAAGCACACAAAGAAACCAGGTAGACAACAGAACCCAATTCTCATTACATGCTCTTAAAGGTAAACGGCTTTTTAAATCAGAAATTACTTCCAATTCCAAATATAAAAGAATAATAATAGTAAAAGTGATACATACCGACTCATAACCAGCAATGGCGGGTCCATGCTTACGAGGAATTGAAGTTTCAATCCGTGAACGGGTACTTGTCATACTGTTGAACATGCCACCATAATACTAAAGTTAAAAATCTTGTACACCATTACATGCAGTTCAAAAAGAATTTTGAAGACTACAACAGCCATAATAGAAAGTTCAATGGGAGCTGCTTGTTTTATATATTTTGGAGGTAGTAATAGCAGTGCAGTGACTAAGAATTAGCTAGAACATCAATCTTGATTCCACTAGAATTTGGGAATATTAATAGTTTCTCCTTCAGTTATATTATTTCTTTGCCTCAAAATTAGATTCTAGGGCTGTCATTCCCCCAGCAAACTAAAGGCAATTTCCCATAACAATCAACTTACTATCTACCAAAATTCATTCTTCAAGTTGGTCTCACATACCTTCTACCAACAAGCAGTATATACCAGGATCTGGAATATGTGTAATTGCAAAGTTAAATCATGCTTGTTAAAAAGATGCTACCTAAATTTGCATTACTCAAATTACAGACACAGAAAACAAATTATGAGCAAACAAAGACAAAAGACAAAAAATCTATATTTTTGGAGAAAGACAGGAAACAGGAGGTAGAAGAGAAATCCAAACCGTTATTCAATGAGCGCTAAAAGAGGCAGATAGACAGAGACAAACAAATATGTAGGAACTATCATTTTAACATTTTTTGGTTGAAGCCTGAATTTTGTTCCTCTATCATTTCAATTCTGTGGATACTGGATTTAGTTTCCCTAGCTAAATTTTAGTGGTTTCAGTCTTGATATATTCTATAAAATGCACTTTAAGAACAGTTGATAACAAGGTTAAAACTTTATTGTTAAATTAGACCATGACTTTTTTGTTGCTGATGCAGCATGCCATCCTGATTTTTTTATAGTACTATAGATACATTTTTTAATAAAAAATTCTGTCAGTCAGGGTCGGTTATGGTTCAGTCACAAATTAAACGAGTTTACAGGTATGGATAAACTTTGCCAGCATTATCTAGATGATGCTGTGTGATATCGTGCTTAGACCCATGAGATTGCACGGTGATACAATGCTAATACCAAGTATACAACCAATAAGCACTAAATGAAGGAATCAGACCTGAATTAAATATAAAGCCACAAATTAGCTGATGTAAGATATGCCATTCTACTATACTGAATAAGGAAAACATGAAAACAACTCTAATAATGAACACTTTAACCTTATTTGTGAAGCTAAAGAGATCATTCACCCTTTTTCAAATCCACACTTTAACCATGAAGTGCAATATATCAGCTAAAATTTTTGAAATACTAGAACGCTTCTAAAAACCTTAATCAATATACCAGCAATTTGTCACCAAGCAAAATGAAACTAAGAAATCAGCCCTAAGCATGATAATAAACGTCAGATGCTTTCATTTTGAAGTTTCACAGACAATTGGAGAAGTCAGACTACATACCAGAGGCCTGATGGAGTACATCTAATGCCAATGAGTCCCATATTTCCTAAGATATGAAAGGAAAATTCCATGATTCATCTGGAGTATCAAATATTTTGAGAGCGGGAAGATGACATAATTTAAGGAGAAACATTAGTTCAAGAACTAGTAATATTCAACAACAATAAGACTAATAAGATAAACCAAAAACTCTAAGGAACACAATTCTAGTAACTAGCTTGTGCGATGTGTTAAAATATTCCAAGTAAACGTTATGTATTATGTCCATGAATTCCAAAAGATAATTGTCATTCTGAAGGCTATAAAAGAAAGAATGACCATAGGGAATATACCTAGGAGTTTAGCCAATATTAAGGGTTGCAGTGAGGATAGACTAGAATCATTAATAAGATTTCTCAATGATTTCTATTATTGGGTATGGTCCACTCCACCTTTGCTTGCTTTCTATAGCAGCATAGCGCATGCCTATAACTTGATTAATACTAGATAATAGTTTATTTTTTTGATTAGTTTTGAAAATTAGGTTTCATTAGGCTATGTTACTCTTCAAACTAATCCAGTTGTAGCCTGCCTGCATATAGCTTATGAAAATATGCCAATGATTGCCAATGCCCTTGACCTCTGTCAACTATTCCCTTTCACACATTCTTGGTGATCTCCATCCCTATTTTTCAAAACACGCACCCAGAACAGAGGGACATCTCTTGACTAGCCACAAATATCTGCACATGGCATAGCCCTAAAAAGGCCAAAAAACATGTAGAAAGTAAACAAAGTAACATTTATACTGTATCAAAGATTCTTTAACTAGACAGGAATATGTGCACAGATGAATTGCAGAAACTACAATGATATTCACAACTATCAAGAATAGAAGTTTGCTTACTGAAGTACGAAAGAGATGCCCAAAAGCATACAATTTGTACATTACACAGATTTAGTTCCGAAGGTTAGTGGACAAACAAGAAAGGATACAATATTATAGATTACTCCAGAAAGGATAACTACCTTTGTTAATACGAAAGGTCGATGAAGCTCAAGTTCTAAAGTATGGAATGCCCCTATCTGCAACAAGACAATGATGCATTTAAAAGCAATAAAAAAATATTAAAAAAGAGACAGCATTCTATGATGCACTACCTTAACATGTTCATTCTCCAAGGTGTTCTTCCCCCTTAGTCGCAAGACTGATCCTTCTTTGTCATAATCTATCACCTAAAGGAATATGACTTAATATCAGTATCAATGCTCATAATTAAAAGCAGCTTCAGAAAATTTTTCATGTTTGAAGGATTTAAAACTTAATCATAACCAAAAAAGTACAAATTAACCACACTGTTAAAAACTGTTGGCAATTCAAACATGGAAAAAAAATCAGTTATACCTCGACTTTTATTTCCAACTTCAGGGGAACACGTTCTGCATCTCTTCCACCAGATGTCTCCCTTAGAACTTTCCTAATAAAGAATGTACATAATACTTATAAGGATTGACATCAAGAAACTTATGAACATCAAATTGTTCAGATTTACACACTAAAAATACATTTTCTGTCAAACTTATGAATTATGATCTAGTGTGAGAAAAACTTTGAGTTTGAAGTGGATGTTTTATAGGACAGCTATTATTCTTGCGTTGCTATAAGGCACAGAATGTTAGATTAACAAGTCGAAACATATACAAAAGATGAATATAGCCAAAATTAAAATGTTACAATGCATGTATGGTATGACAAGGATGAGTTAGAAAAAACGATAAGTCCCATAAGACACAGGTCGAGGGATGCACTTTTAGAATGATGGAGAAAATTAACGTAGCATAGGCTGAAAGCTTGAAGGGAAGCCCAAAAACTATATGGTTAATAGTTATAAAGAATGAAATAAAACTATTAGAACTTTAAGGACATAATGGTCAAGCATTCATGCACCCAACATAAATTATTTTATTTCATTATTTTTGTAGCCGAACCCAAAAACATTGATTGGGATTAAAACTCGTTGATTTGGTATAGGTAGTACATAGTAGCTACCATTGGAAACAAGATCCACAATTACTGTAAGAAAGGTATATTGTTAAAACAGGTTTATCTCTCCATCGATAATATTTCTTTATGTAGAAAATACACTATTTATATATACACATTGGTGTCTTATCTTAGGAAACTAGTAAGCTAGGTAAATAATTGATTCTAGGAGTAATTCTAATCCCTTAAAGTTAGGGATCCTAATTAGTATAATATATTTACAAATATCCTACATAATCTTCCTAATTTAGAAAGCTAATCTTTGACACTCCCCCTCAAGTTAGGGCATAGATGTCTTCCATCCTTAGCTTGTCTGTCAACTTTTGAAAACATTTATCAGGTAGACCCTTGGTAAGTATATCTGTGACTTGATCTCCGATGGTCACTTAAGGAGTACAGATCAGGTCACTATCGAGTTTCTCCTTTATGAAATGTTTGTCCACTTCAACATGTTTTGTTCTGTCATGTTGAACTGGATTGTGAGCAATATTAATTGCTGACTTGTTATCACAATATAACTTCATTGGTTCATCCTATTTGACCTTCAAATCTTTTACAATTATCTTCAGCCATAGTAACTCACAAATTCCCAAAGCCATAGCTTGAAACTCATCTTTTGCACTCGATTTAGCCACAACATTCTGTTTTTTTCTCCTCCATGTAACTAAATTTCCTCCAAAGAAAGTACAGTACCCAGAGGTTGATCTTCTATCAACTATGGATACAGCATAGTCTGCATCAATGTATGCTTCTAGAGTTAAATTTTCCTTTCTTCTAAACAAAATTCCTTTGCTTGGTGTCCCTTTTAAGCACTGCAAAATTTGAGTCACATCCCTTAGATGTGATTATTTGGGATTGTGCATAAATTAGCCTACAACTCCAACAACATATGTTATGTCTGGTGTGTGACAAATAAATAAGCATTCCCATAAGTCTCTGAGATTAACTTCTATCAACTATTGCATCATCATTTTTTGAATCTTCAAGCTTATGATTGACCTCTATTGGTGTTCATACACTCTAGTTTTCCAGTCTCTTTCAACAAGTCCAGAGTATACTTTTGTTTAGATATAAAAATCCCCTACTGTGAATGTGTCACTTCAATTCCAAGAAAATATTTTAATATTCCAAGTTCCTTAACTTCAAACTCCTTTATCAGACACTTTTTTAAACTACCAATTCCTTCAAGATCATTTCATGTGATAATTATGTCAACTACACACACCAAAAGTGCAGTCACTCCCTCTAAAGAAGAGTATTTCACAAAAAAAAGTATGGTCACCTTGGCTCTGTTTAAATCCTTGTCTTAGAATCACTTTACCAAACCTTACTTAAGTGTAAAATTGTGTTTCAGCCTTTAAATATTTTTGAAACAATTTTTACAAAGTATTTCAAACCTTAATCGAGCCAAAAATAATTTTTACAAAGGGAGGTACCGATACACTCTTGGATGTATCGATATACCCCAACATCGAATGTAATATGAGTATCGATACACAACTGATGTACCGATACACCCCTGGCTCAGGAAAAACATCGAATGTAATTAGTGTATCGATACACCCCAAGTGTACGATACACTATGTCAACCAACGGTCGAAATATTTGAATTCACCAATAACAAGTTTATTGACTTCACCAATAATCCTCAATGTTCAGAAGTGATCCAAGGTGTATATAAACAAGTTCTGAAGCCATTGATCAACAATAATTAAGAAGAGAAGCTAGAAAATCAAAGAGAAAGCAGCAAACCTCAAGTTTGAGCATTTCAAGCCTATATTCATTTAATATTGATTTTGCTTTCAAGAACACCATTTGTGCTCAATTGTATTCATTCTTGAGTGTTATTTCTTTGTTCTAGAATTGTGCAAACAACTTGCCTTGTGAGATTTTTTTGTAAGTTTGCGAAATTTGTATTGTTCTCTTTGAGAGAGAGTGTTTTCAAGAATTTGGGGTATAATTCTTGAGGGAGTTGTAAGGTTACTCTTTGTCCTCAAAGAAAGACAAATTAGTGAATTTGTGGAAAATCCTTAGTGTGTATAGCTAAGGCAGTGGACGTAGACTTTGGTTGAGAAAGTCGAACCACTCAAAATCGATGTGCAAATATTTTTAATTTTCTGCAAAAGTTTCCACCAAAATTTTAATTGTCAATTCACCCCTCTTGGCTATTTCATCGATCGATTAACTCAACAATTGGTATCAGAGCTACACTCATTTGAAGGTTTAACAACCTCTTGAGTCGATTTAGGAAGAGTCATATCAATATTCAAGTCATCAATGACCTCCACTTCAAACTTCGACTTCGTTCTTGATTCTCATCCCGTCAACAAGCCTCCTTTCTTCAATGGAGCTAATTATGCTTATTGGAAGAATAGAATGAGGTACTTCATTCAAGAAAGTGACATGGGAGCATGGAAAATCGTGGAGAACGGATACATCATACCATCCACTCATTCAAATTTATGGAGTGAAGAATAGACGAAAATTTTTCAGCTTAACTCTAAGGCTATCCATATTCTATTTTGTACTCTTGGACCAGATGAATACGAGAGAGTTTCATCTTCTACAACCGTCAAGGAGATATGAGATAAACTACAAGTTATTCATGAAGGCACAAACGAGGTAAAAGAATCTAAAATTAGTCTTCTAACTCATAGCTATGAAAATTTCAGGATGAAACCGGATAAAGACATCAAATCTATGAAGGATAGATTTTCCGTGATTATCAATGGTCTCAAATCATATGGAGAGATCATTCCAAATGAGAAGCTTGTGAAGAAGTTAATTTATTCTCTTCCAAAAGCTTGGCAATCAAAGAAGACATCGCCGTTAAAAACCTAAAGTCTCTAACTCTTGATGAACTAATCGGTTCTCTCCTCACATATGAAATGATGATTCAAGATGAGGTAGACCTCGAGAAGAAGGACGAGACAAAGAAGGAAATGGAGAAGAAGAAAAACGTTGGAGTTGCTATCAAATATACAAAAGATGAGAGTAATTCTGATGAAGATGACGATGATGAGGAAATGACATTATTTGTCAAATGGTTCAGAAAACTAATGAAGCCCAACAGAGGAAGAAAATTCAAACGAAATGAAGGCTTCAAGAATGAACCAAAAGAGAAATACCCTATTATTTACTACAAATGCAAAAATCCCGGGCATGTCAAATACGATTGTTCGCAATTAAAGAAGAAATGTCAATCAAAGAAGAAGCACAAGGCACACATGGCTACTTGGAGTGATGATGATGAATCATCAAATGAAGAGGAACAAGAAGTAGTAAACTTGTGCCTGATGGCCATCGGGGAAGATTCTTAGGTAACCTCTAGCTCATTTAATTTCGAAGATTATTCTTTTGATGAGCTGTTAGAGAAATATACTGGGTTGACTTCGTATTATGAGAAATTATTTTTAAAATACAAGAATAATATTTCGAAATTGAAAAACAAAAATAATCTCATATCCAAGACCAACTTTGATCTTGAGAGTAAGATTAAAAATTTGCAAATCAAACTACATGAGTTTAAAAAGAAAAATATTGATTTGCATAACTTACTTTCAAGAGTTAATGAAGATACTAAAAAAGATATTGATGATCTTAAAGCTTCTTTTAATAAAATTGGAACAAAACGTTTTAAAAATGGAGAAAGTTCAAAATTCAACTTTGTTAGAAAAAGTTTTAAAAACTACAATCATAGAGGTCCCCAAAGAACCTTGAATGAAAAATCGTTAGAAGTATATGAGTTCCTAAAGGACTCATTACTACTAAAGATAAGGATATCCTACACAAATGGATATCCAATGAGACTAGGATTTTAGAAACTAATGAATATGGACCCAAAAGAATTTGGGTACCAAAAATTAAAAATTAATCTATGTTTGTAGGAAAAGGAGCATTGTTATAATGTGTAAAATACAAGATCAAATTCATGGTTCCTTGATAGTGGATGCTCAAGACACATGACCAGAGACAAGAGCCGGTTTATAGAGCTTAACGACAAAAATGGAGGACTGGTAACCTTTGGTGACAATTCAAAAGGTTACATTGAAGGTATATGTACTATAGGTAAAACCACTTCCATACAAATAGAAAGAGTATTATATGTGAATAGGTTAAAGCATAATCTATTGAGTATTAGTCAATTATGCGATAAAGGATACAATGTCTTATTTGAAACAAATGGTTGTAAAATTGTTGACATTCAATCTAATCGGATTATGCTTGTTGGTCATAGAATAGGAAACATATACATGGTGCATTTAGATACAATAAATATGACTAACTTGTGCCTAGATGCTAAGGATGAATATGATAGTTGGTAATGGCATAGGAGACTAGGACATACAAGCATGAGTGTTTTACAAAGACTAATTCAAGGAGATTTAGTAAGAGGGTTGCCAAAGCTAAAATTTGACAAAGATAAAATCTGTG